TTTTTTAGGGTTACGGAAGCCGTTCTGTATTGATCCCAGAGAAATCTCGGTAAAATTATTGAACTTTCTCGGTAATTTTACTGGACCTTGGTAAAAACGCCAATATTTTTTATCGACTGTGGTAGAATTACCGAGATAAAATGGCAAAGTTACCGGGAATTGATTACCAATAAAAGTGGTATTCTTACCTGAAAAAAACAGTAAAAATACCGGTTTTTAGGTAAGCTTACCAGTCTGTCTTGGTAAAATTACCAATAATTGGTAAAAAAAATGAGATGGTAAAGGTACCAACGGACCTTGGTAAAAACGCCAAGAATTTTTTTTCAGTCGTAAGGAATAAACGCCGTATCGAACAGTTCAAGAATTGCCAGAATTTCCTCGGATAAAATATGTATTTTTGAGGTAAATTCATGCATATTTTATTTTGAAATTTTCGGATATTTTAGATTAAATTGCGTAATGAAATTGTCTGAAAAATCCGGAGAAAAATATTCAAAATTTCTCCAGTATTTTCGTTTCTCATTGAGCCAAATTTGGCAACGTCAAAAGGCTCATATGGCGTTCTTCCTTAGCACAGCAGTGTGTATAAGGACGGAAAGTTTGACGAATACAGAGGTGGAGTCTCTCATGACACCAGGGGTCCCCTCCATTATGGTCGTATATTAGAGGACTATTCTGAGTTTTGGAATTTGTTTTAGAGACTACCAATAACGCCCTCTCATTGTGTATCAGGCGAAATTTTTCATATGGACAAGAACGAAATTTGCAAATCCTTGGGGTACGCATGAACTCTATATTGTAGAACTTATCTTCTTCTTTTGTTTCTTTCTCATGAAAATGTGAAAAAATTGATATTCAACTAGACAAGGTCAGTAGACAGTCTCAAGCCTGAGCGAGAAAATCACATACAAGCAAGGTAACATGCATGGAGACCATTCGCGCATGATTCATGCAAATATCCCAAAACTAGCCGTGGGTGAAAACGCTCAACAGATTTTTCATGTTTGTCTGCTAAACGTCGAGTGAGGTAGTTTCCTGTCCAAATGATGCGGGAAAATATTCGAGCAATCGAATCCAATGTTTCGTCTGACGATTAATGAATTGAATTTTGTGATTTCATTTGAATGTGCGATGTTTGTGATATTCTGATCTGGTAAGTGTTCATAGGGCGATGATGAAACCAAATGAATGCGCTGCTTGGTTTGTCACGCTACAAAGTTTCTGTCACCTTTTACTTTTCTGGGGACTTTCCGATCATCTTCATTGCAAGAAATTTTTGGTGGGTTTTTTTTTTCGCCATTGAAAGAGATATTGCCTTTAGACTCCTAAGTTCCGAGTTAAGTGGACCAAGTTCAAATGAAGAACAGAAACCGGCTGAAGGTGGAATGGAGGGGAGGAGATCGAGGTTTAATTTTCCCATAAAAACAATTCTCAAAAATGAAGTTCGATCCCTACTTTCTTAACTTAGAATTTTTAAAGTTGACGGAGGAGGTTGACGGTAAATTAAGTCAAAGCTGTACTCATTTACCAATTGGTTCGGTTTATTTCATGGATCATCGATACACAGTGCCGGGTTTAGGGTTATGGGTGAACTTTATGGCTGCTGGGGGGGGGGGGAGGAAAAGCCATAAAGTTCACCCATAACCCTAAACCCGGCACTGTGTATCGATGATCCATGAAATAAACCGAACCAATTGGTAAATGAGTACAGCTTTGACTTAATTTACCGTCAACCTCCTCCGTCAACTTTAAAAATTCTAAGTTAAGAAAGTAGGGATCGAACTTCATTTTTGAGAATTGTTTTTATGGGAAAATTAAACCTCGATCTCCTCCCCTCCATTCCACCTTCAGCCGGTTTCTGTTCTTCATTTGAACTTGGTCCACTTAACTCGGAACTTAGGAGTCTAAAGGCAATATCTCTTTCAATGGCGAAAAAAAAAACCCACCAAAAATTTCTTGCAATGAAGATGATCGGAAAGTCCCCAGAAAAGTAAAAGGTGACAGAAACTTTGTAGCGTGACAAACCAAGCAGCGCATTCATTTGGTTTCATCATCGCCCTATGAACACTTACCAGATCAGAATATCACAAACATCGCACATTCAAATGAAATCACAAAATTCAATTCATTAATCGTCAGACGAAACATTGGATTCGATTGCTCGAATATTTTCCCGCATCATTTGGACAGGAAACTACCTCACTCGACGTTTAGCAGACAAACATGAAAAATCTGTTGAGCGTTTTCACCCACGGCTAGTTTTGGGATATTTGCATGAATCATGCGCGAATGGTCTCCATGCATGTTACCTTGCTTGTATGTGATTTTCTCGCTCAGGCTTGAGACTGTCTACTGACCTTGTCTAGTTGAATATCAATTTTTTCACATTTTCATGAGAAAGAAACAAAAGAAGAAGATAAGTTCTACAATATAGAGTTCATGCGTACCCCAAGGATTTGCAAATTTCGTTCTTGTCCATATGAAAAATTTCGCCTGATACACAATGAGAGGGCGTTATTGGTAGTCTCTAAAACAAATTCCAAAACTCAGAATAGTCCTCTAATATACGACCATAATGGAGGGGACCCCTGGTGTCATGAGAGACTCCACCTCTGTATTCGTCAAACTTTCCGTCCTTATACACACTGCTGTGCTAAGGAAGAACGCCATATGAGCCTTTTGACGTTGCCAAATTTGGCTCAATGAGAAACGAAAATACTGGAGAAATTTTGAATATTTTTCTCCGGCTTTTTCAGGAAATTTCATAAGCAATTTAATCTAAAATATCCGAAAATTTCAAATATAAATATGCATGATTTACCTCAAGAATACATATTTTATCCGAGAAAATTCGGCAATTCTTGAACGTTCGTACGGCGTTTATCCTTACACTGAAAAAAAATTCTTGGCGTTTTTACCAAGGTCCGTTGGTACCTTTACCATCTCATTATGTTTACCAATTATAGGTAATTTTACCAAGACAGACTGGTAAGCTTACCTAAAAACCGGTATTTTTACTGTTATTTTCAGGTAAGAATACCACTTTAATTGGTAATCAATTCCCGGTAACTTTGCCATTTTATCTCGGTAATTCTACCACAGTCGATAAAAAATATTGACGTTTTTACCAAGGTTCAGTAAAATTACCGAGAAAGTTCAATAATTTTACCAAGAAAAAACTGGGATCAAATAGAACCTATGGAACGGCTTCCGTAACCCTAAAAAAAAAAAAAAAANTTAAAAATTCTAAGTTAAAAAAAAAATATGTTTTGTGAAAGTAGGGATCAAACTTTATTTTTGAGAATTGTTTTCATGAGAAAATTAAACCTCGATCTCCCTCCCCCATTCCAACTTCAGCCGGCTTCTGTTCTTCATCTAAACTTGGTCCATTTAACTCGGAACTTACGAGTCTAAAGGCAATATCTCTTTCAATGGCGAAAAAAACCCACCAAAAATTTCTTGAAATGAAGATGATCGGAAAGTCCCCAGAAAAGTAAAAGGTGACAGAAATTTTGTAGCGTGACAATTATTTTTGCAGCGCATTTATTTGGTTTCATCATCGCCCTATGAACACTTACCAGATCAGAATATCACAACAACGCACATTTAAATGAAATCACAAAATTCAATTCATTAATCGTCAGACGAAACACTGGATTCGAGCATCATTTTGACAGGAATTTACCCCTTACCTTCGAAGCTAAGGGGGTCAAACATGAAAAATCTATTGAGCGTTTTTGCCCACGGCTAGTTTTGGTATATTTGCATGAACCATGGGCGAATGGTCTTAATGCATGTTACCTTGCTTGTGATTTTCTCATTCAGGCTTGAGACTGTCTACTGACCTTGTCTAGTTGAATATCAATTTGTTCACGTTTTTCATGAGAAAGAAACAAAAGAAGAAGATAAATTCTACAATATAGTGTTCATGCGTACCCCGAGGATTTGCAAATTTCGTTCTTGTCCATATGAAAAATTTCGCCTGATACACAATGAGAGGGCGCTATTGGTTGTCTCTAAAACAAATTCCTAAACTCAGAATAGCTCTCTAATATACGATCATAATGGAGGGGACTCCTGATGTCATGAGAGATTCCACCTCTGTATTAGTCAAACTTTCCGTCCTTATACACACTGCTGTACAAAGGAAGAGCGCCATATAAGCCTTTTGACGTTGCCAAATTTGCTTCAATGAGAAACGAAAATACTGGAGGAATTTTGAATATTTTTCTCCGGATTTTTCAGGGAATTTCATGGGCAATTTTATCTAAAATATCTGACAATTTCAAATATAAATACGCATGGTTTTCCTCAAGAATACATATTTTATTCGAGAAAATTCGGCAACTCTTGAACGTTCGTAAGGCGTTTATCCTTAGCACGGTAGTGGACAGGGAGCGACAGAGGAGCCTTTTTGTGCTGGGACCCAAAGGTATAAAAAAAGGTTTACGGCGTTTAGGTATTAGGCGATTCTTGAAAGTTGACAACATTTTTCCATTTGAACGTATGTAAATAATCGATTCTTAGTGAGACAACTTGCCTCACCTAAAATCGCTATTTTAATGGATTAAAATGAAGGAGAAACAGTGTTGCCAACTTGCAAAATCGACACTGCTAGCTTGCAGCCACGACAACCCCGCTAGTGAATTCTTTCTGTATCTGAACAACATTTTGCAATTATAGGAACTACAATTTCTGGTTCATTTGCAAGAGCCCTTATGTGCGCGGAGAAAATAATGGTATATACGTTGCCTCAAAACTGAACTGGGAATTGTGGTTCCGAATTCCAAAATGTAGTCCATCTGTGATTCCGTGCATGGAGCAAACCGATGTTTCTCGCGAAATTTTACAGAGTATTTCAATCGTGAATCCTTACGGCATGCAAGAGCTGAATTGATTGATGGTTTTACGACACGTGTTAAATGGAGAAAATTTGTGGAAGGAGAAGACAAAAACAGCGCATGATTTGCACTTCATGGATTTATAGGATATCTCGGAAAATTTACTGAGGTTGCTAAGTTTATTCGGTCAGTTTGATTAGTATATAATCATTGCTGCACGTCTATTTTTTCAATTGGCCGTTAAATGACAAGGTCATCAGATAACTTACAACTCAACTCATATTAACAACAGTGTATCCACACACAAGAGTTAAATTTCAAGGTTGAACGTTTCAGACGATGATAAAGTAAAATAAAAATTGCACTTTCTATAATACAGGGTGTTTCAGACCACCCGTACCAGGCCTTTTTCTCGGTTGGTATAGGTCGTACGAAGTCGGAGACCGCGGGGATGCATAGGGAATTGACCCCAAGGAATCCGAATTTCGTAGTCCCGAAACCCCCCCACCCCCCTTGGGGGGTAAAGGGGGGGTCACAATGCTAAAAGTCACGGTTCCCGACCGAATTGCGGATAGATCGCATCAGCATTGAAAAGCACGAAAAATTTCACGCGGAATTGACCCCTAAAAATCCAAAATCGGACCATCCAAGGCCCAAAAATGACCCCCTAAAGAGGGGGACAGTGCCCCCCTCCATAATTTCTCTTTGGTCTCAAAATTGACGTAGATTCTCCAGAAAAAGACAGTTTCCCAGGTAATCGACCTCGAGAAATCCAAATTTCATGGTCCCGAAGCTCCTCTAGCCCCTCTTGGGGGGTAAACGGGGGGGCCCAATTTTAAAAATTGGGGCTCCTTTCCGAATTGCAAATTGATTGCATCCAAATTGAGGAGCAGAACACATTTACATCTTAAGTGACTCCTAAGAGTTCTAATAGACCCCCTGAACGGCAGAAAGTAACTTCCTGAGGAGGGGGGCTTCGACCCCGCTAAAAATTTCTCAGGATTCCTCTTTGGTCGCAAAATTGACGTTGATTCTCCAGAAAAAGACGGTCTCCCATGTAATTGACCCCGAGGAGCTCAGGGAACATGAAATTTAGAGTCCTCGGGGTCGATTACATGGGAAATCGTATTTTTCTGGAGAATCAACGTCAATTTTGCGACCAAAGAGGAATCCTGAGAAATTTTTGGCGGGGTCGAAGCCCCCCTCCTCAGGAAGTTACTTTCTGCCGTTCAGGGGGTCTATTAGAACTCTTAGGAGTCACTTAAGATGTAAATGTGTTCTGCTCCTCAATTTGGATGCAATCAATTTGCAATTCGGAAAGGAGCCCCAATTTTTAAAATTGGGCCCCCCCCGTTTACCCCCCAAGGGGGGCTAGAGGAGCTTCGGGACCATGAAATTTGGATTTCTCGAGGTCGATTACCTGGGAAACTGTCTTTTTCTGGAGAATCTACGTCAATTTTGAGACCAAAGAGAAATTATGGAGGGGGGCACTGTCCCCCTCTTTAGGGGGTCATTTTTGGGCCTTGGATGGTCCGATTTTGGATTTTTAGGGGTCAATTCCGCGTGAAATTTTTCGTGCTTTTCAATGCTGATGCGATCTATCCGCAATTCGGTCGGGAACCGTGACTTTTAGCATCGTGACCCCCCCTTTACCCCCCAAGGGGGGTGGGGGGGTTTCGGGACTACGAAATTCGGATTCCTTGGGGTCAATTCCCTATGCATCCCCGCGGTCTCCGACTTCGTACGACCTATACCAACCGAGAAAAAGGCCTGGTACGGGTGGTCTGAAACACCCTGTATGTGACACCACATCCTGTGACGCAGGTACAGACAAAAAAATAGCTTTAGCCCTTGGACATACATAAAAAATAAACCCCTCTCTGCCGGATGGAACCCTAATTTTTGTTGGTAATTTTTATAAGAAGTAAGATAATTGGACTTATTTCTGCCAAACGGAACTAAGCGCCATGGAAAAGCATTTCGAGTATAGGACGGAACGAGCAGGACGCCCGTTTCCGCCGCCAATCCAAGCCCCCCTATGGCGCTTAGTTCCGTTCGATAGAAATACGTCCAATTTTGACCAATTTTTAATTTATTTTGAAACTTTTATGAATTTTTTTGGTTATACAGTTTCTCACTCCTTTCTTTCTTTCGTAAATTGACCATGTTGAATCCATAAATTCCGAGTCATTAGTTTACGCATCTTTGAGACGCTTTTTCCACCATTTTCCTCTTCTTTTTTTTAAGGATCCAGGATTGTATGCATCCAAAAACCAATCTCACCGAGTAGCCCAAGGCCGAATAGCCATGACCACCATAGAGCCCCCACCGGCAGAGCAGGTCAAAAAGGACATCGCACAGATCAAAGAGTGGCTCACGGCAACCCCACACCTTCCAAGCGTGGAGGATGAGGACTGGCTAGAGACAATCCACCGCAACTGCAAGTTCCGGCTTGAGAAGACCAAGTCCAAGCTGGACGCCTACTTCTCGCTTAAGGTGAAATTCTCTATGATGAGCATCTTTCCCTGAGCAATTTTTGTCCCACTCAAAGGACCTACGGTGCAAAAGTGTTAAAAAGGATGATGAAGGGAGGGGGGGGGGGGTTAAAATTCCCGAAAAAGTGCGTTACGTAATTTCTGGACCACCCTTTGGAAGTTTTTTGTCAGTTTAATTGCAAAAATCCGGATCCCAGTTATGATGCGCACGGTGCATAACGTTTGCGCACTATTTTTTTACCGATTACGTTTGCGCATACTTTTCACGAATATCATTTGCGCACACTTTTTACCGATAACGTTTGCGCACACTGCAGTATTTGGCAACGTGCAACTTTGCAAGTAGTATCGCTTCGTGATAAGACAATTCAACGGACGGATAATTTATAAACGGACGAGGGGAAATTTTCATTTAAATAAATTCCAATAAAGAATCAATAAGTAAATGAATAAACAAGTAAATAAGAAGAAAATAGAAAATGAAGAAAGTTAAGAAAATAAGGTATATGGTTACTCACAGATTTTTCGCTGTTACTTCAGCTAAAAATGCTGTCACTGTCTTCACCGGAATCATCTTCAGTGCAAGGACGGGCTTTAGGGCTGTTTTTGAATCCATTTCTGAAAATGGTGCTGATGAAACTTGCTCTTCAAATGCAACCTGCCCTAAAAACAGCCCTAAAACCCGTCCTTGCACTGAAGATGATTGCGGTGAAGACAGTGACAGCATTTTTAGCTGAAGTAACAGCGAAAAATCTGTGAGTAACCATATTCCTTATTTTTTTAACTTTCTTCATTTTCTATTTTCTTCTTATTAACTTATTTATTCATTTACTTATTGATTGCATATTGGAATTTATTTAAATGAAAATTTCCCCTCGTCCGTTTATAAATTATCCGTCCGTTGAATTGTCTTATCACGAAGCGATACTACTGACGCATCATTGAAGCGTTGCCAAATAGTGCAGTGTGCGCAAACGTTATCGGTAAAAAGTGTGCGCAAATGATATTCGTGAAAAGCATGCGCAAACGTTATCGGTAAGAAAAGTGTGCGCAAACGTTATGCAGCCGATGCGCAGTGGATCGAGTCAAATTTGGAAACTTTAAACGCTTATAACTCCGTTTATAGAAATTTTGAGGTTTTAAAAGTGGATCCATTGGTTTCCTCGTGAAGTTTTCCTCTAGCGGCACTCCTTAAGATTTAAAATGTGACGGAATAAACATCAATATTTGCAGTTTTAGTCAAAAATTTCATGTCCGACCTTTCTGATTGACCACTGTCGTTCTCACTGGTTCTTCTTCTTTCAGGGTAAGCACCCAGCCATCCTGCGCGACAGAGACCCCTTGGCGCCGGCCCTGGTGACAGCCCGCTCAGCAGTGACTCTAGCCGTCGCCGAACAGGTGACCAATGATGGATCGCTCCTCGTTTACCATATCCACCAGCCGGACCACAGCATCCTCAATGCCGCCGACTACTATAAGAGGATCGTAATGCTCCATGACGTCATCCTGCTAGAACGGCTTGCGCCTAACGGCGTCCTGTTTATTGTCGATTTTACTCATTTCCGGTAAGTGAAGGTGGACAGGGCCGGATTTAGGGGGTGGCCACATGCACCGCGGCCCATGGCGGCAAACTTTGCATTTTTTTTAATGCCGCAATCACACGCTGCATGTGGGAGCTGAATGTGGCTTAAATGTGGAAGTCATTGGCCCGATGCCTGAATTTTGCGCGTGACGCGCAAAATTCAACAACAATTCTCAGCGACCATCGGATAATGTCTGATTTGTCTGAACTATTCGAATAGATTTAATACACATTTGGATGAAAATAACTCGAATTAGTGAAATTTCCGCTGTTGAGCGCTGACTGTTAATTGACTGCCACATTCAGCTGCCAAATTCAGCGTGTGATTGCGGCATAAGTGTAGGTATAAAAAAAAATTGGATTCGGAAAAGAAATTATACAAACGAGAAAAGGCGACCAAATCTCTCATTTCCTGAGAGTATAGTAATTTATAATTTTGTCGTCTTTCGGTGATACAAGAGACAGCACCTTCATAAGTCGAGTTAAGAGAGAATCCAAACACACAATTTGACCTGAAACAGCGCGGCACAGAGAGCAATAATGACGAGGACTTGAGATAAATAGGAGAAGCCCTCGGCGCGGCGGTCGGTATGTAACACATATTAGCGCCTACAAGACTGAATGAATACTTCATGCAATGCATCAAATACAGTGCAGTCAGCGCGAAACGCATAGCGCCTACAAGACTGCATGAATACTTCACGCATTGCGCCAAACACAAGCGCGGCGTGGCGCGGCAGCGTACGCGCACAAGGAGTACGGAGTACGTCCTGCATGAGCGTGTGAAGGGGAAGGGGGATTCAATGGCAGATCAATCGATATATGATCCATAAATCGAAGCACGCCACGCCACTGCTGAAGACCCAGATAAATAACAAAAATTATTGGTTCACATTTACTTTTTTCATAAAAGCAATCTAACGAACAGTCTATTTGGAAATTGTCCTTGAATTCTCAGTATTCATTCAAAAACATTCAAAGAAAAAATCAAGATGTCTTGGTCGGATCTATTTGTAAAAAAATAAAACATGATCACAGATTTTTCAAAGTTACAACATGAGTGCGAATTTTCCTTTCTCTAAAGACAGAAGACAAAACTGTACCTAAATTCATGGCTTTGTTAGTCAATATTTTGACCCTAGTATATACCCTGGTAAAAATTGGCAGTAAAATCTGTGTTCCAAAATACCATAGACCTACAGCCGGCTGTAAGATTTCCAATAGCTTCTATAGCCGGCAACACAATTTCTCATAGCCTTTTATAGCCGATGGCGATTAAGCAACAGCCTGGCGATAAAGTGTATGCTAAACGTTACTAATTACGGATGCTAGGACTTAGTGAGTTTTTGGACATCCCGCTCTCTTTTTGGGCCGCAATATCTTGATTTAATTTGCGAGGAAAGCTCCGTACTTTTGAAGGATGCCTGCCATTCCTAATATGTTGGAGCGCCTTCAGTTTCGTATAATACTGTGCAATACCTCTGGTGTGAAATAGTTGCTTCAAGCGCCGCGTGGCGGGCGGGTAGCGAGCGCTGAACGCGCACTAGCGCCTTCAAACCTAACAGGGATACTTCACGCGTTGCGCAATGCGTGAAGTATCCCTGTTAGGTTTGTAGGCGTCAGTGCGCCGCCGCTCCGCTTTGTGTTAGGCTCTAATATTTAATCTCGCGGAGTCAGCGTTTTTCAACTCATGACTTTGAATGTTTGCACACTCTGTATGGATTATTCTCATTTTAATTGATGAAAAAAACTATGTAGGTAGTAAAGGAAAATATAATGTGCGTTTTGTAAATATTAACGTGATTCCGTACAAACTTAAGGATTTACAAAGCACAAGAATTTCTACACAATTTCTTATAGCCTTTTATAGCCGATGGCGAAAAAGCAACAGCCAGACGATAAAGTGTAAAGCCCGGCGATAGGAACTATGGCCCGGCTGTATAATTTTTTATCGCTTCGTGAAGCCCGGCCGTATGATTTTTTCCACTTTCCACAACCAGCCATATGATTTTTTATCGCCCTCTTCAGTCGACTATAAGAACTCCTATGGTATTTTGAAACGCAGCTCCTATCGCCAATTTTTACCGGGGTACTTAACCTTTCAATTTCGAGTTTTCCGACGACACAAAAATTATACCGTGAAAATTTTCGCACTTTATAGGAATCCTGTGAACATTATGTGCGAACATTGCGATTTTCAGGTATCAACATTTCCTGAAGATAATGATGCATGTAAGAGCGCTCGTGGAGATTTTAGTGAGCTGCTACGCCGAGAAGATAAAAGCAGCGTACTTGATCACCGAATCTGAGCTGGTTGTGCAAATGATCAAATTGATAACTAAGCTGTCACCACAGAAGATGCGCGAAAGAGTTAAATTACATGGGACTTCGATGAGTAAAATGCCACGTGAGGTCGACGAGGAGGTCTTGAGCAATGACCTTGGTGGAAAAGGGCCTTCATTGGCCCACTTAGAAGGTAAAGTATATCAATGTTTACACCTAGAGTCCCTTTACACTCAGAGTAAAGACAATGCGAACATATTTCTGATTGGTTCCCGTATTTTAGACCTAGTGTCACAAACGGGAATGAGATTACATTTTCACCAATAGAGAATTCGCAAGTGTCTGAAATTTGATGAATTTCGTGTTTAAGTGGAAACTACTGAGTGGACTGAACACGAAGATACCCTTGGTTCATGAATTTAACAATAATTACCTACTGGAGGAGATATGCCAAAATGATCTAATCTGCTGAAACGCATGTGTTTAAATGGGAAATGCCGCCAGATGACGTCACTAGGCGGTGTAATTTCTCACTTTTTGAAGAAAAATGTTTGATTCGTGTTCATTTAAAAAAAAATAAATAAAAATAATCAGAGATTCTGAACTATTAGTAATGTGCACACTCACGCATTCTTCGACTCTAGCAATCTATCAATATTTGACCTGTGCTTGACGACATTTACTGGTTTTTTTTGCAGACTTCTTGTCATGCCTTAATTTTTCAATGGAAAACAACCGAGCGTGATAGCTTAAAACCTTCCGTAATTTTTCCCCGATCTGTGAAAAATTTTCTGTCAACTTCCCAAGCCATGATGTTAGTTTTTTCTCCTAAAAAAAAAGAAAAAAAAGAAAAGAAAATAAAAGAAAAGTTTAAGCGTAGATTTTAAAATAACGGAAACGAGGTACCCCTGTGTGGTTTCACCGTTGAAATATCAACGGGGTTCTTCGTTTGTAACATTTTTCGGTTGCCCTGCATTTGACAATTACACTCTTATGACTCATTGTTAGTGAACAAATACATGCAGTCGGCAAGACTACTTTTTGAGGTATCTAGGTCGGGAAGCACATGCGGCGCGGCGTCCCGAGTCCAACAACATTACGGTATGTTCGAAGCGACTGATAAAAGCTCCACTTTGTCATTTGTAGTAATAATGATAGTGCAGATGCAAAACGCCTGCCTATCGGTAGCTAAAATTAAACGAAAACAAAACACGTGTCGGCACCATAACGCAACGTTACAAAATGCCTTACAATATGTTTCTATATCACGCTCAGAATAGATTGATTTCATTCATGAAAATTTGCCTCAACTTTCTTTTACATTACTAGTGCTCTATATTCGCGTAAAATCTGAACGATAACCTAACGGTAGCGTAATTTTGAATTGGATTTCCCTGTAAAATATGGTTCAAGGGCGTTCATTTTACGACATTAAGTTGCAGTGTTGCCACACTTTATTAATTTCAGGAGGCTATTCGCGATTATATTGGTTTCCTAGTTCATTCTCGTGGTCTAGGTATTTATTTTTTGTTTTTATTTGTCTCCATCTCCTGGAGGCCCGATAAAAACGTAAAACATGCAACGCTTTAATTTGCACTTATTGCATGACTGCTTTCGAAAAAAAAAAAAAAAAAAAAAAAAAAAAAAAATTAAACTAGATACGCTAATTGAAGACTAAAATAATATGTTCCAAGTTTTATGAAAAACCACTGTATTTGCATATACTACGTCGAGTTTAATTCTTGCAACTTGGTCACAATATCATATTAATACCTATCATTTCAATTTATTTCAATCCCCTCTATTTTAGTTTTGTTATACCGGTATCTTTAATGATTTCATGTTCCAGAGAAGACACAGCAGTTATTAGAAAAGTATCGCGATTGGTTTCTGGAGCAGGACCGGATCTGCGAAAATTTGGCAAAGAGAAGCAAGAAGGAGCTGAAGGAGTCATTTAAGAAACTAGAAATTGACTGAAATCGCCGCTTGAAACCTGACCTCCTCCGTAATTCTGCCAAACGGAACTACGTGCATTACGACGTGAACCCTGTTATACATACATTCTTATAGGTCTCAGGGCTCATGTCGTAATTCTGTATGGCACAGAGTCACAAATTCGTAACAACGTATTTTTGGGGTTTTTAAAAATTGAATCTCATTTCCTCTGAGGCTTAATTTTGCAAATTTCCTTTTTCTTTTTTGAAAAACTGATTCCCTCAAATTTAAAATGTTTAAAAAAAATTGGTACTCTAAGTTTTTTATGTAAGCTACAAAATAGAAGTGTCCCCTAGAATCTAAGATTCAAAATTAATTCAAACCATAGAGGGTTAATGCACATAGTTACGTTTGGCAGACATCCAAATTTCCATTTGTCTTTCGCCTCTCTCATGTCCACATCATTTCATTCTCGTTCCTAATTATTTTTACTCCTATTTTTCAATAGCTCTTTTGGTTTTTGAAAAAGAGAGAAAATTGTTTTAAACTAAGATGTATAACTTTGAAGTTGAATATAATATAATTGTCACAGGCACTTAGCAGTCGCTGGCAAATCGCATTATCGGCGCACAATGGATCGAGTCCATAGGAGAGGTCGGACACAATGTTGAAACTTTAAACCCCTAAAACTCCGTTTATACAAAACTTCGAGGTTCTAAAAGTGATTTTCTCGTGAAATTTTCATTTAGACACACACCTTGAAATTTAACCCTTTTTTGCATGAGCTAATCGTTGATTTTGGTGAGGAAATCTACATTGTAGAGTATTTTTTCGACAATAGAGTAAGTTGAAATCCCGAGGACTCTAAATTTCATGTTCCCTGAGCTCCTCGAGGTCGATTACATAGGAAACCGTCTTTTTCTGGAGAATCGACGTCAATTTTGCGACCATTGAGGAATCTTGAGAAATTTTTGGCGGGGGCGAGGCCCCCCTCCTCAGGGAGTTACTTTCTGCCGTTCAGGGGGCCTATTAGAACTCTTAGGAGTCACTTAAGATGTAAATGTGTTCTGCTCCTCAATTTGGATGCAATCAATTTGCGATTCGGAAAGGAGCACCGATTTTTAAAATTGGGCCCCCCCCCCGTTTACCCCCCAAGGAGGGCTAGAGGAGCTTGGGGACCATGAAATTTGGATTTCTCGGGGTCGATTACCTGGGAAAGCGTCTTTTTCTGGAGAATTTACGTCAATTTTGAGACCAAAGAGAAATTATGGAGGGGGGTACTGTCCCCCTCTTTAGGGGGTCATTGTTGGGCCTTGGATGGTCCGATTTTGGATTTTAAGGGGTCAATTTCACGTGAAATTTTCCGTGCTTTTCAATTCTGATGCGATCTATCCGCAATTCGGTCGGGAACCGTGACTTTTAGCATCGTGACCCCCCCTTTACCCCCCAAGGGGGGGTGGGGGGGGGGTTTCGGGACCACGAAATTCGGATTCCTTGGGGTCAACTCCCTATTCAACCCCGCGGTCTCCGACTTCGTACGACCTAAATCAACCGAGAAAAAGGCCTGGTACGGGTGGTCTGAAACAACCTGTATTTAAATGACGAAACCCATGCTGCCGTGCATTCGAGAGTTGCCAAATTTCCTCCGATAAAATGTCCATTCTTAAGGAGAGTTGGGAATATTTTCTCTTGAGATTTTTCGATACTTTAGATCTAGTTACGAATGGGATTCTCTGAAAAATTCGAAGAAGAATCTTCAAAAATACCCTTTTAAATTTGTATCTTATCCAAGGAAATTTGGCAACGCCTGCGGTAGCATGGTGTTCTTAACCCACGATATCCGCCACTGTTTCTGGAGATGTGACGTTAGGTATATTGGCGTGAACTAATTTACTTAATGCTATTCTCGCGTTGGGCGTTTGGAGATAAGAAATTCTCTATTAGGTCACCTTAAAAATTCTTGCTTCAGGAATTTACATGTATGTATGTTGATGACAAATAAAATAATATCATCGGGAAAAACGAACCGTGACATCATCGGCTGAAAAAAAATTTTCAATTAGAATGTCTACATGCAAAATGCAAACAACCCTGGTAAAAATTGGAGATAAGAGCTGCGTTTCAAAATACCAAAGGAGTTCTTATAGCCGGCTGAAGAAGGCTACAGAAAATCATATAGCTGGCTGTAGAATGCGGAGAAAATCAGACGGCCGGGCTATACGAAGCGATAAAAAATTACGCAGGCGGGCTATAGTTCCTACAGCCGGGCTTTACACTTTATCGCCTGGCTGTTGTTTTTTCGTCATCGATCATAAAGGGCTATAAGAAATTGTGTAGAAATTCGTGTGCTTCGGAAATCATTAAGTTTGATACGGAATCACCTTAATATTTACAAAAAACGCGTTATATTTTCCTTTAATACATATTTTTTTCATCAACTAAAACGAGAATAATTCATACAGGATGTGCAAACATTTCAAAATCATGAGTTGAATAACGCTGACTCCGCCAGATTAAATATTAGAGCAACACAAAGCGGAGCGGCGATGCACTGGCGCCTACAAACCTAACAGGTATACTTCACGCATTGCGCAACGCGTGAAGTATCCCTGTTAGGTTTGTAGGCGCCAATGCGCGTTTCGCGCTGGCTGCCCGCCCGTCGCGCCGCGCCGCAGCCTGCCACGGCGCTTGAAGCAACTATTTTACACCAGAGGTATTGCACAGTATCATACGAAGCTGAAGGCGCTCTAATATATTAGGAAATGGCAGGCATCCATCAAAAGTACGGAGCTTTCCTCGCAAAATAAATCAAGATACTACGGCCCAAAAAGAGAGCAGTGGTCCAAAAACTCACTAAGTCCTAGGATACGCAATTAAAGACGTTTAGCATACATTTTATCGCCTGGCTGTGAGTTGCTTAATCGCCATCGACTATAAAAGGCTATGAGAAATTGTGTAGCCGGCTATAGAAGCTATTGGAAATCTTACAGCCGGCCGTAGGCCTATGGTATTTTGGAACACAGATTCTACTGCCAATTTTTACCAGGGAAGAAGTGGCAGGTGTGAAAACAAGTGTAGGCAAACAAGCAGCCAAACTCATATGCACTGACTTAACGTATGCACTTACAAATTATTCAATTCGATTGAATTTACCTGAAAATGAGAATAATTTAGCTATAAAATCACCCAAAATTCTAAATAATCATAACTTGCCAAGAATGATAATAGAAAATCATTTTTTTCCATCCTGTCAAGATTAGACCATGTCATATGATAATTGCACTAAGTCAGAAATCTAACTGTAGAATTTTCATCTGGTAGGAGTACATGTTAACAATAAATTTCCTGGAATTTTTTTAAGAAGAAAAGAAATATCGAAGGTGTAAGTCGGCAATCAGATATGGTCGATTTTCTTCACAAAATTGAAATGTGAGAAATTACTGCACCATCGCAAATCTGCAATGCATATTTGTTTCTTAAGTCAGCACCGAAATGACGGAATCTTGCCATAGTGCCACGGGATCTCGGGCTCAAAATTGGGTGACTATTGTATCACGTCTTTAGAGCCCCTTCATTTGTGATCGATGCAACATCATATACATCCGTTGTTACACATTGGGATTCAGGTATGTGGAAGCGTACTCCATGCGTGAAACAGGAAACAGGCGCGGTGGATGGTGACTAAATAATATGTTTCTATGAAATCAGTTAAGGTTGTCCATTTCAATTTTTGTGGAAAACAAATCATGGCTCGCTTTATTTGGTTTCCCGATTTTTGTGAACTTTTTATGGTAGATGGTTATTTAGCAAGCAGTAAAAATAGAACAAGAGGAACAAAATATTTAAACAATAAAATTGATTCTGGTTCTTGATCCTGGCTATGGTTTGGATCTGCCTCTGAAAGTTTGCACCCCAATTTCGGAGACAAAAAAAGCTGCTTATCTCGGACCCTCTTCATGATAGTTCAACAACGTGTACTTAACATATTTTCCAACCATTGAAAACTTCTTTTTTCTTTCAGTTTTTCTTTTCCCATGGACTCAGGTCGCACCTCACGGTATAACGACTATATAGTTGGAACACACTCAGAATAGACGTGGTGCGGGTAGCTCTGTTCCCTATATAGTTAAAAATTTCCGTGTTCAAAATTATTTTGGGCCATATTATTCGGTCAATCCGCGGATACTCCAGATCGTGGATAACAGGACCGTGGAGTTTTTCACCCCTCAAAATACGCCAGGAATCAACTTATTCGGTCAATCCGCAGATGCTCCAGATCGCGGATAACAGGACCGCGGAGTTTTTCACCCCTCAAAATACGTCAGGAAAACTTATTCGGTCAATCCGCGGATACTGCAGATCGCGGATAACAGGACCGCGGAGTTTTTCACCCCTCAAAATACGTCAGGAATCAACTTATTCGGTCAATCCGCGGATACCCCAGATCGCGGATAACAGGACCCTGAATAATTAAGATTCAACTACATTCATACTTTCATTAGCTTAGCCTCGAGAGAGCTTTCGGCTTTCTCTGAGTTACGAGCGAACCTCATTTTTCGCGACCGAAACGAGCCTCTTGACCTAGATGGACTTGCAAAAAAAACTTTACGGACGGGTGGTTCTCACCTGGTGCAGAGATGCGCTTTCGTGGCTCCCGCTCGGCCGTGCACTCCGCCGCGGCAATCGGGTATCGAGTCACACTGTAGTTCCTCGCGGAAATCCGTCGAATAACAGAGCGCCAACGGACGTATTTGTTGTGGTCACCGATAATTCGAAACCTATCTACCTGCCCACGACGAATTCCTAGTTGCCAGGTTTACGGAAATGACTAGCGTTGAAAATTGCACGACTCGGGAAAAAATGAAAATTCCATTTCATTGCGGAGTAATCGATGGCTTAAAGGGACTCATCGTCAATACCTACTTGAAAACTTCCTTATTTTCGCCTCTTTATGAGGAGAAAACTCGGTACAAATTTCAGGAACTGATATTGATTTGTGCTGCTTCAAAAAAATAACATGGGAGTGGAGATTTTTAGACACCGCGTGCGAGATACGTGGTCTGGTAGCTTCACCGTCGAATCGACGATACGTTTTCTCTTCGTAATTTTACGCAGAAAGCGATTCACGCATCGGAAATAGTTCGAGAATAATCCCTGCAGGAAGAACGAGCCTCCTCCCCCCTATCCCTTCGGGAGGAAGGGCTGGCGGTTGTCTCGCAGGGTGCAAGACGGGAACGTTCGAGAGTCGTCATATAAAAAAGACTCAGTCGGTCACTTCCCCACAAATTTCTGCAAAATTTAACCATTTTTGACGCAAATAGGGCTCTGGTTAAGTTGAAAACTGTCTTGAAATATACTCTGAACAAAATTCACAAGACTACTTACGCATACGATATTTGCTGTATCTCACATCCATCTATTTTGAGCAACATTATACTGCCGTGCCAAGGAAAAACTCCGTATGTGCCTTCAGGCGTTGCCAAATTCCCCCTGCAAATCACTAATTTTTAGGAAAATGTTTGAATATTTGTCTAGCAATTTCTCAGATAGTTCTGTTTGTAATTTAATGTAAAACTTTTGAAAATTTCAATGGAAAAGATTCATAATTTCCCTCAAAAATAAAAATACTATCGAGGGAACTTTGGCAACCTTCGAATGTTCATTCATGATTGTATCATTAATATTTCCTATGAATTTAGTAAAAACATTTATTTTCACTCGTAAA